AAAATGTTGTTATGCACTTTAGAAATGAGTGAAAGGAAAGAGCACACAGGGCTCCGTGAGCTGAGAAAGTGTGTCATTCACAAGTGCTGTGGGTCTGCAGCTTGGGGACAGGAGCCTGAGACCCGGCTGTGCCCTCACTCTTTCTGGTCTCTCAGGGTCAAGCTGAAGTGAGGGGCTGGCTCAGGATCAGAAATAAAAAGATGGATCTGAAAGGTAAGGCTCTGAGGGTCCCAGGAACCTCCAGAGATGACAGCTTCACCTGTCCCTAGGAACCAGCTCCATATCTCTAAGAAATTCATTTGCAGAGGCCTGAGGGGAAGCTCCTAAGAGAAGAATTGGAACCTGGGATTTCTCTCCATGGGATGAAGGTACGGGGGTCCAAGGAACAGGTGTTGCCCAGGAGGACAATGTTGGGAAGGGCACCAGTGACTTCCTGGATGTGCAGGAAGGGCTCCAGGTCCATTCAGGCAGCTGTTTAACTCAGCTAAGGCTGAGTCCTCTTTGAGACTGCCCCTGTCCTCTCTGCCCCGGAGGTAGTTGTGACCCCCATGACGGGGTATGTCAGGAAGCACTTAGTAAATGACAAAGCACTGCCCACCAGGCACCTGGCTATCACACTTGGGCCACGTGACCTTTGACACCGATGCTGGGGCTCCAGCATCTAATCCTCTCTCTGGGGTCTCCCCTAAGAGCACGTGTACTCAGCCTCCTGTAAGTCCCAGTTCCCTCCCTCGCCACCATAACCCACTCCTGCTTTCCAACCTGCCAAAGTCTCTTGAAGAACTGGAGGATGCTCAGATCTACACTCTCCTGCTGGAAAAGTGAGGCTCTTTCCCCTTATCCCTGGTGTCCTCCTTCCTGCCAGGGCCTGGGGCTGATCTGGGAGGGGGAGGTCACAGCCGGGATGTCACTAAAGCCCTGGGACATGGGAACGCAGAGCTTTGTGAAGTCAGCATGGGGGCTCTGGAGGGGCATGGGCCGCGGGTTCGCAGTGCTCCCGGCTGCAGCCTGTGCCTCCTGTCTGCTGCAGGCACCTGAGGAAGCTCCCTGGGGAGGGCAGCTCCCATCACCTTCCACACCAAGACCGACCAGGGCCAGTGTACAAACGAGCACCTGCTAGGAACCACTGGCCACATGAGGGCATGGGAAATCTTCCCCCACCAGCTTGTCCCCATGGGCTCCCCCAGCTCCTCTGGCCTCCAACCCATCACCAGACCTGAAGACCTCCATAGGGTCCTTTGAGTCCCTGTCAACCCTGAGCACCTCCCAGAGCCTTTGTGTCCCCTGAAGCACCCTTCACACCGGCCACATGCAGGCACCCTATTACCAAACCCAACCACCTCCACAGAATCCTTGGGGTCTCTGTCATCCCTGAGCTCCTCCCAGCCACCAGAGCCTTTGCATCCCCTGAAGCATCCTTCACACAAGCCACGTGGGCGTTCCCCTCCCCGACATCGGAACCCTGGCTGGGTGTCCTGGTCCAACTCCACCCAGGCTGATTCTCAAACTGATGCCACAACATGCCCAATGTGCAACGACCCTGAACACTCCTGTCTACACAGCTGGTGGGTGCCTTTGCCTTCCAGCCCTCGAGTGATCCGAGGCATTGGTTGCTGCAGTGATCCTGACCCGGACCTCTCCTGGAGCCAGGAGGCTGCTAGAGCCTGGTGCCTCTGCACCTCCTCACAGTGTCCATTCCAGCACCCTAATCTTCCCACCCACCTACCAAAGGCTTCCTTCGAGGGACACCCCACATGCAGGCAGGGGAAGGCAGGGGTCCCACTTTCCTCAGACTGGACGTGCCAAAGCTGCTGGACACACAAGACACCAAAATCCCAGACACCACCCTGAACACCGCACATCCAACATCCACCAACAATTGGGACTCTCCCGAGGACAACTTGGAGGACCCCACAGATGCTGGAAACTTGTGTTCTAATGGACTGGGAGAGGCGGAGGTGGGGTCCAAATCTCCAGTCCCTGGATCTGGTAAATTTCCTTGGGAGGCTTGGACGCCACAGAGACCTCTTCCACAGCGCTGCACACAGAGACCTCCCACTGCAATACAAAGGCCTCTGCTAGAGACCTCATGTCCATCCTTCCTTCTAGAGGATCTGGACTCACTTAGAAAATTGCCAGCACAGGAAGGATAACATCAGCTGTGCCCACCTCCGGAGAACCAGACACTTTGGGTCATTGTCAGCATCGCCCCCCAAATGGGCTCTCTACTAGGGAAGAAGCTAAGGAGTTGTTGGTCTTTTGCACTGCCACTCTCTCCTAACAGAACTGCAGATTCCACGTGTAGACTGCAAATTCCGTTCTCCACAGGTTCCCATTAGCTTTACCCCGACCCACAGTTTAGAGAATCACAACTTGTTTTGTGTTTGTTTTTGTTTTCTGTATGGAATCTTGCTCTGTTGCCCAGGCTGGAGGGCAGTGGTACCATCTCAGCTCACCACAACCTCCGCCTCCCAGATTCAAGCCATTCTCCTGCCTCAGCCTCCCAAATAGCTGG